GTTTGTTGGTTTTATCTGTTTGTTGGTTTTTTCTATTTGTTGGTTTGTCTGTTTTTTTATCTGTTTGTTGGTTTGTCAGTTTGTTGGTTTTATCTGTTTGTTGGTTTTTTCTATTTGTTGGTTTGTCTGTTTTTTTATCTGTTTGTTGGTTTGTCAGTTTGTTGGTTTGTCTGTTTGTATGCAATTTACAGCTTGACCGATCGGGCCAATTTTTTATAGTAACTCACGTCCCTAGGAAATGTTTACAGAATATTAAAAAAAAATATTTTAAATAACTGTATCTTAAAAAAACAATCGTAAAAAATCTAAAAATATTTGAAAAATAATATTGAAAAATAATAATTACCCAAAGTATCTTCCCATCCAAATCCTCGCATCCCCTGGGGGATAAACATGTTAATAAATTATTAAGAGATACATATAACACAGTGTAAATAATTTAAATTTACAAAAATGTCTCGAACCCCGTACACGTTTGTAAAAAGTGAAACAAACACTTGAGTATATTAGGCTGATCTAAAATTTCATTTCAGTCAGTTAATACAATCTTAGACATATTCAGTGAGGACCAGAAAACTGTGGAAAAGAAAGACGACATTAATGCAATGGTTTAGTGCATTTGATGGATGATACTTTATGACAACCCAAAAATTAGATCTTTGACATTGAAATTTGAATATTTATGTTCAAAGATAAAACAAAATGATTTGAAAGAAAAAAATTAAGATGGAACAATGCTTATGCAAGCAAAAAGATCGAAAATTCCGTACAGTCGTCTGTTAAAGTAGTAGTATTAAAAATAAATTTAAATTAAATCTACCTTAACCATTTGAAGATGTTTACATCTGAAAATATTACCAGGCTCCATAAGAGAAACTAAAAACAGAATTAAAAACGTGCATTTCAAGATTTAAAAGAATTAAAAGTAATTGTATAAACCGTATCTCAGTATGCATGGACCACGGTATCAAACACGACATTATTGTGTTTGTATAAACGTACATGTATATTTGTTCATATATTCATACAGTGGTAAACAGAAAAAGTGGAATAACTCCTTAATTTATTTAATTAATCATTAGATCTTGTTACAGATTTGATAATTGTGTAATGGATCGGATACATTTTTAACATTTTAACAAAAAATATCATGGTCGACAGTCTATAAACAGTTTTTTGGTAACCACAATTACACTTATTATAGATTATATTTCTGTTTATTACATATAAAACATGCAGTAGTATTCTTAAAAATTGATTTACCTAGAACAGCATTCACACTATGAAGATGATAGATCGTATCTGAATTTCGTATTCTGAAATACAGGGTGAGTCAAAAAAAAACAAAAACAAGGGAATTATCGATGTTTTGGAAAAAATTTAAAAATTAATATTTTGTTCGAATTTTAGAAATAAACAAAATAAAATGGGATAAAAAATTCAAATATATTAATGGACAATTCGAGTGGAAATCTGCAGTGAACAATATCAAACTATAACCTTATAACTGTTATGACTTCAAAATTGCAAATAATTGGTTTAAATTTTTTGTTATATCTCATTAAAAACAAACATTTTCCCAACAATTTAAAAAAAGTTTCATTTTTTCAAAAACCATAGGTTTTGCGGACTTTTTTTGATGCTCCAAAATTATTTTTGATTTTTTATCACATTTTATGTTATTATTATGTTATTAAAGTCAGTCTAAAATTCAAACAGAATAATAATTTTGAAAATTTTGTCAAAAACATCAATAATCCCTGTTTTTATTACTCACTTTTTGTTAAAAATGTCAAATTGTATTTAGGTTGATTTTGCTAATAAAAAGGATTTTATAAGACGTAATTTCCAATTTTTTCCCATGTTTTACAGTGGCAGGTTCACGGTTAATTTCTGTTGTTGAGCAATCAATTTTCATTAACAAAGATGAGGATATATTCGTTATTCTTGATCAGAATATTTTTTAAGGGTAGCAACTAGCACTATGAATCTGCAGAGTGAGGATCACTGGAAATCACGTTTACAGTCCCTTTAATAACCTGTAGATGTGAAGGAAGTTTGGAAGGCAGGAAGATATTTTTAACTTTTTGACCGGGGTTTCTAGAACTTCACCTTCAGCACTGAACAAATGAAAAATTGCAAATAATTTCACAAAGGAATTGAGTCTTTGTCACAAACTATTATTTTCTATGCCTTAGCAATCCAACGTACAATAGACCTTTGACATTTCAGACTGTATTTTCTAAGCTTAGAGCGCTTCGCGCCCATCTTCTTTTTCTTTTCATCTTTTAACAGTGGCTTTATCTGTGAGCATTTATACTTGGTCCACTATGAAACGATAACAAATAACTTAACGGATTTCATACTCTTTCTATTGTATAATAATCATTGAATAATTTACCTTATCAAAAAAATGTCGTCTTTGTTTTGGCGTTCCTTTAATACTCCACTAGGAGTCACTAGTATCCCCTTTTCAGTCTACAATATGAAATACATTTATTAACACTGTGTAATATATAAAGAAGTTTTGCATGACTATGTTTAGAACTAGGAACTCTTGTATTGTGAATATCGAGATCAATGCTTAATCTCTTAATGCTTATCACGCATGGTAATCGTACCAAGTGAGGGGTGAAGAAAGCTTTTATCAGGGAAGAGAATGAAGAGATTATGCTTTGATCATCAAATTAAAAATGCTCACACTGGATATCAACATTAAATAATATCCCAGCTTATAGCACCTTTATATTATTTCAAAGCTTTACGGCCAAAATATGTATACAATACTCAAATCTGTATACAATACTCAAATATGTATACAATACTCAAATATGTATACAATACTCAAATATATATACAATACTCAAATATGTATACAATACTCAAATATGTATACAATACTCAAATATGTATACCTCAAATATGTATACAATACTCAAATATGTATACAATACTCAAATATGTATACAATACTCAAATATGTATACAATACTCAAATATGTATACAATACTCAAATATGTATATCAAATATATATACAATACTCAATGTATACAATACTCAAATATGTATACAATACTCAAATATGTATACAATACTCAAATATATATACAATACTGAAATATATATACAATTTACTCAAATATGAATACAATACTCAAATATATATACAATACTGAAATATATATACAATTTACTCAAATATGAATACAATACTCAAATGACCCTGTATTTTCTGCAAGCTGAATTTTATATGACCAATTATTTTAATTATTTAAACTCCATTATTTAAACTACATATTTAACGAACTCAATTTTATGAATATTCGTGAACACAGAAGACGACATTTAAAAAAATAAAAACAAATACCTTTTTTCCAAGTTAAATGCAATTTTAAGCAGAAAAAACGAAATTCACCGTTTAAAAACATAATCCGTAATTAACGGGTTTTGCCGTTCCTTAACGGACTTTTCCGTATATTTTAGAAAACTTCCGTTTCGTTAACGGAATTTTGTCCAGCCCTGGTTGTTAGAAGTGTATAATTGTCAAATTGAGAAGGTTCAACAAGATTATTTCTCTTAAATTTGTTGTTACAAAGGAATCAGAACTAACCACTCGCGCCAAACTATAATATTATTTTTGCCATAGCTTTGCATCCTAAATTTCGAGATCCATGCTTTATCTCAATATTTTGTTAATCTACAGATTAATTTAATCTTTATTAGATATCCCGTGAAGTGCGGAAACCAAGCAGCCAATCAGAAGCCAAGGAATTTTGCATTAAACCAAAATGTACCCACTGTAGATATTAAGATCAAGATCGATCAACAAAAAGTTTCCAGCTCAGGTTAAAAAAATTATGGTTTTTAATATTCCAATGATCTTTGAACATAGTAACTGTGCAGTGTAAACAGACCCGTTTCGCTAAGTAAATTAATTTTCATTCCTTTAAAAAACATCAAATATACAAGATTGTTAAAATGTCGTCTTCCTATTCCTTCGTTGTATGAGTGTAACTGTATGTATATAAAGCATTTGAATTCGTGGCAAGCCATCACTAATCATTTTACCTTTATAGCTAGAGCTCCCCCAGTTCCTGTCATCCAACCATTTCTATTCTCGTCAAAATATTAAAATCAATTTTGTAAAAAGTATTTTCAACCAATTATACCTAATTATCATCGTGTAAATCAACATTTATTTTTTGTTGAAGTTCTTTACAGCTGTTTGGTTGCAAAATACGTTTACGGATTATGAAAAAAGAAAAGCATGATAAAATCCAAGATTTCAATGTGATCCTAATTTCTATTAACAAAATTTAAATAAGACTTTTTATATTTTGGTCTGGCTCGCCAGTTGTCGATGGCTTTTCTTGGGTAATAAGTTTTATTTCGCATGTGAGATTCAAGAAATAAGTATTATTTTGCATGTGATAACCAAGAAATAAGTTTTATCTCGCATGTGAGATTCAAGAAAAAAATTTTACTTCGCATGTGAGATTCAAGAAATAAGTTTTATCTCGCATGTAAGATTCAAGAAATTTAGGGTTACCAACTAACGACAAATCCAACTTTCTGATCTTGAAGTATTTAAGAATTTTAGGACTTTAAGAGTGGCATCTAAATATATCCCAATATTTATTTATTTATATTTTAAACTTAAATTATGATTTTGAAAAGTCCTATGTACAAGAAACTAGATATTGTGCAGTGCGCAATTATTTGTTGTAATGTCGTTTTCCTATTTAATAGTTTTCTGGTTCTCATTGTATGCTAGCCTGAGGACTCGTAAAACTTAATTTTTAAACTTAAAGTCTTTAAGATCATGATTTTAATTTCCTGTGAAACTCAGCAGAAAGTTCAACAATTAGATTTCTTCCCTCCTCAGTAGTCAGTAAAGTCGGGAGCAAAAAGTAAAATTGTCGTGAGTTCAAAGAATTGATTTAAATACATAAAAATTGAAAAGTTACTTTCGAATGATGTTATACATCAATAAAACTATGATTAGAATGTTATTATTGGCAAATTGGGTCTGTGCCACAAACTCACATCTTTAAAAAACTCTAATATCTTTTTAACCTCATGGTGTAAACCTTTGATATTTCAACAGAGTTCATAGTTTGAAGTATCATAAGTTCTACAATATTTGGTTGCATAAATATAAAGATTAGAAATCATAGTTTGTGGCAAAAACTCAAATGAGATATCCTTAAAATACTATCAAACAAAAAGTTCTTTCTTTCGAATTACTTTCAGTAGATATATAGATCCATTTTACAGACACAGTTTTAGAATGTCTTTTACCGTTTCGGTGGATCGACTTTTTTCAATCTCACGCATTTTAAATCTGAAACAAATTTTATTTTCCTTCTAAACAAATGGTTAGGTGTAACTCAATCAAAAGTTTTAAAAATAATATGTAAAAACTGAAACAATGTAAAAAAATAACTGACATTTTGTTTAAATTTTGAAAAAAAATTTAATTTTTTTCCTACGTTACTTCCTGGGTACTCAAGGGTTCCCTAAATTTTTTGGCCTAATTGGTTCAGCCGTTTTGCCAGCTACAGCTAACACATATATATGTAAATATACTTATGACATGGGAAATAAATGACAACTTCTATATCGTCTTTGTTCCAAGCGGGATTATTTCGTAAACATAATTTTGTAGTATCACAGTTAAAACATTTAACACCGAAAACCACCAGTCTTGGGATTTCCCAAATGTGTCTCTGTTTTAACTTAATCAAAAACGACATTCATGTCGTCTGAAAATTCCCATATTTATTGGGTCACCCTTCCATTAACTCTTTTTCTCCCATTCAACAAACAACAATTTTTATCTTTTAAATTAAATGTTTATTTAACAATTCTTCAAAAAAAGAATTTAAACTTGAAACGAATTGTCCTCTAAACATGGTGAATCATTGTTGTGTACTGCAAATGAATTGTAAACATGTACACTTTGAACTCCTTTACAGGCTCAAAACCAACGAGGTTAAAGTGTATAGAGTTGTGATGTACGCTAATCCTTTACTAATTGTAAAGGCCACGAACTATACCGTGGAGACTGGAGAGTGTAGTGCATATATCCACAAAACTGCTTAACCCCATTCGTGAAACCTGGGTTCTAAAACGGTTTTCATAACGATACCCTGTCTTAAGTTTTGGGCTCAAGGAAACTCGCATTTCTCTCTCTGTATACTAAAAATTGGACATAAAAGGGAATATGTTTTTACCTTTTTAATATTTTATACCCAAAACTCAGCAAATAAAATCTATTTTTTTTGCCACTCCATGCAAACATAAATAATTTCTGGGAGAAAAGTTTTTTTTTTAAGGGGGGGGGATAAAGATTTTTCGAGAACACTTCTTATATCATCAACAAATATATGTTCTAAACCAGGCAAATCAAAAGTATGAAAGAATACGGTTCTTTAACGAATATAAAAACTAATAAATATTTTTCTTCTAAATAGTGGTGTCCAATAGCTAAAAAGCTCTGTAATAAATATATAAAACTGTGTGAATAGAAATTCGACATTTAGGCCATCTGACGAGGTACGTTACATAAGTTTTACGATTTTTTAAAATGTACTTTTCGACGTCTCAGCCCTTAATTTTGTTAAAGTTCACTGTATTCATACCGGTTCAATTTTCTAACCAGCTAATGTCGATAAGATAATATGATGGACGCAATTATAGCTTTCTAAAGATCCCGGTAGCGATGCTTATTTACAGCCTAAATATCGAGAGACTTAAACCTTATCCATTTATCCTTGTTCTAGAGGTTGGGTAACCTTAAAAACTCAAATGAGGGTAAAACTTTAATGTAGAAAGGGTCCTTGGAGGTTTTTTGTATTTGTAAACATTTCAGCAAACAAATTAGTATCCTTTACTAAGATCTCTTTGGAGCAAATGTTGTCCAAATCTTTGTCATTTTTCAAATCTTCCTATCCAACAATTGTTTGCAAAACCATAGCTGATGCCAAAACCCATCAAAAATCATTAACTAAGAAGCCTTGCGAATTTGATTTGAGAAACTTTCAGTTGTGTCGACTGTTTTCTGCTTTGACATTTCCTTGTTCTGCCATCAACACTTTCCATTACACTTTTTCCCCTTAGGCTCCTTTGTAGGCTCGTAGACTATTGCCTTGTCCATAATATTATCCTTGGATCATGTCAAAGGTGTCTGCTTTATATTTGGAAAGTTTTAGGTACGATTTTTTGTGTATCAAGCATCCCAAGCGTCATTAAAAAGTTTGATGAATAAAATCCTTCGGAAGAAGACAACTGGTATGGATACAGTGTGATTTGAAACAAAACAAAATACAGGACTGATACGTCTAGGATTAACTTTCAGATTTTTTTTTGCAAAACTTATTAATCATCCCTCGTATTTGTATTTGATGTTGTTATAAAGCAAATATTAAATTGCACAAATTGCAATGTTTCATAATCATTAAACTATAGAAAACCATAACTTACAATAACAGTCGTCTTTTTATATGTTTCACAGTTTTTTGGATCTCAAAAGTTTCCGAGATAAAAATATTGTCAGATTTGAACCCTTTACAAAAAGACACAAACAGCCCTCCGGCTCTACTTGAATATTCTACTGTAATAAACTAATCAGATCGAACACTTCTAAACAATATTAAACACATGTCTCAGAATCTCAAACCGGAATTTTATGTAAATAATAATAGTCACACTCCCTCTTTAATCCACATACAGGGTGTCATGGTAAATAGTTTAAGATGTCTTTTTCAAAATTTGTTGAGTTGTTTGATACCAAATAAAAAATATCTCACTATAATGTACTTGAGTTTTCAACCATGTTGTTTTGCCTGCAACTATGTAGTATTCCAACTTGCTACAATGTTATCCACGGCGTGCAACCATATATTCCAGCTCTCAGCAATATTTTCAAGCTTACCACCACGTTTATTAGCTTGCAATCATGTTTCTCAGTTTGCAATCACTTTTTCCATTTTTCGGCCATTTTTTCCAGCTTTTAACCATGCGTTCCATCTTGCAATTCCATGTTTTCCAGCTTGCAACCACCCTTTCTTTCCCTGTATCCTTTTCTTTCCTTGTATCCCTTTCTTTTCCTGTATACTTTTCTTTCCTTGTACCCCTTTCTTTCCCTGTATCTCATGGTTCCTTGTATCGCATGTATCCCTGTATCTCATGGTTCCCTGTATCTCATGTATCCCTGTATCTCACGTATCCCTGTATCTCAAGTATATCTGTATCTCATGTATCTACTATATCCCTGTATCTCCTTGATCTATGTATCTCCTGGATCCATGAATCGCCTGAATCTCTGTATCTCTTATATCCCTCTATCTCCTTTATCTTTTTTTCTCTTGTATCCCTGTATCCTTGTATCTTCTGTAGTCTGTTTGTTCTGTATCCCTGTATCTCCCGTATCCCTGTATCTCCCGTATCCCTGTATCTCCTGCATCTCTTATATCCCCTGTATCTCCATTAATCCTGTATCTCCTGTTAGCCTGTATCTTCTGTATCCGTTGTATGCTTTAAGTTCCCTGCAAACTTTTAAAGTTGAATATTTACTGCTCGTAATGGAATGTGAAACTGTGTATTAAATGTAAGGTGTATACTGTATACTGTATATACTGTATAATAGTCTGTGTGTCCCTGTCGTTGAAAAGATTATCCCACTGCAGGACATAAGTGAGAATTAATTAACCAGAAAATCCGCGAAGTGCTCATTTATTTTGCACATTTTTCCCAACAGCTGAACTGATTATGTAACGGTTTAAATCTACTGGATACTTACTAAATAAATAGATATAGCTTGACTCTGAGACTCAGTTTTTACAATTCATTTATTACACACAAATTAGTTTATTATAATGCCCTACTAGGGGGTCAACAAAAAATGTGAAGAGTAGAGAAACGAATTTGAAATCACATATTTGATCTCCAGTACATTTAAATCACATTTTTGTCACGTCAAGCTTAAGATTTCATGATTTCTATGCTTTTAAGTGGGTTAAAAATACACTAGAATATCACAAATTTCAATACAAAATAGCGTGTTAGTTGCTAAGAATTTTTACAAAATAATGAATTTAAGTAATCTTGATTCGAAAGTTAAACCCGGAAAGTTGTTTCTCGGATCTCATCAGATTAACCGCAATCAGAGAGATTATAAAATATTTGAGACATTTTGCAACATTTTTCAGATCTTATTTAGATTGCAGCAAAAAGGGTCTCCGGGAAATGTTTATATTTACATCCTTGTGCAAATCTTTATTCAATTATAGCATTAAGTTCTTCTTTAATGTTTGGTAAAATTGATTTACACCATTCTCGTGCTATAGAACTATTCCATTTTCATGAAATTGCACAAACTGTCACTTTTTAATGATATGATGGAGAAATAAATAGGTTAAATATTATTAAATACGATAAATATGTTACAGAATGTTATGAAAGGTTGAATACTTGGAGAAAAATTAAGAAAATATAATTTTTCAAAATGTTCATTTTAAATTAATTTAATACAATACTTCTTCGACTTCGACTTCCTTTGATAATGGAATCAAATAAGCAGTCAGAAACCCTTAAAAAAAAGCTTATAAAATTGTTGCAAGAAAAATTAATTCAAGAAAAATAGACGTTTTCAAAGGAATTGATCAAACATGACTCCAGAGGTCAAATCTTTTGGATGACATATAAGCTACAACGCTTAATCTCGATATTTCTGGTGTAACTTTTAAATTTGAGAGAAAAGTTTTTGATTCCTCAATATTTATGTCAATCTGAGCTGGGAACTTTAGAATGGATAACCTTTAATCCCAGCTACTTAAGCCGAATATCCACTGTGTAAACTTTTAATTTCAGTCCTTAATCCACTCTTTTTCTCTCTCTTTGGATATCCGTGCATTATAATATAATTTGTTGATCTAAATATTTAATCTCAAGATTAATATAATCTCGAGATTATGTTAATCTCGAGATTATGTTAATCTTGAGATTATGTTAATCGCGAGATTATGTTAATCTCGAGATTATGTCAATCTCGAGATTTGCAAAAACAGAGGATTACGCATTAATCCTGATATCCACCATTCTAAACTTACCAGCTCTGGTATATTTTGACCATGGATATCTAATTAAAATGATCCATTTGATCTCAAGAATTAATATATCTGCATTCATTACGTTCAGAAGTTCAGACCAATATTTCCCTGTTTAGTTCAAGTTCAAGTTCATCATCTTCCTCAGATTCGTCAAACGCCAGAGCCCAGGGGTTCTCCTAAATTTCAGAATTTATGAAAAGGATGAGTTAGTTGTTAGTCTAGGTACGATTAGTTCTCAATAAATTAGATCAACTTGCCTTAGTTAATCTATAGTTCTCAATACTGATGGGCATTTCGCATTTTAATAAGCTATTTAGCCCATTGTGGAATTGTATTCTTGATAAGTTTGCTTTTATAACATTATACACAGTTTATCTCTAATCAAAGATATGCACCAAAACGATTTTTCAAAACGGGAAATGAAAAACGATTTTACTAATTGGTTTGAAAAATCGTCAAATATTTGGTCCGAGCTGGGAAGTTTAGAATGGTGGATATCGGGATTAATGCTTGATCCACTCTTTTTCTTAATCTCCAGATTAAATATTGCTTGTTGTGCTCATGAATTTAATCTTCAGAGCTGAAAACTTTAGAATGGGATATCCTAAATCCCGATCGTTCAATTAATCAGAGCTGAAAACTTTAGAATGGGATATCCTTAATCCCGATCTGTTGACTTATCTGAAGATTAAATTCATGAGGAAAACAAGCCACATTTAATCTGGATATTAAGAAAAAGAGTGGATTAAGCATTAATCCTGATATCCACCATTCTAAAGTTTTCAGCTCTGGAGATTAAGAACAAGAGAAGAACAAGCACTATTTAATCTGGAGATTAAGAAAAAGAGTGGATTAAGCCTTAATCCCAATATCCACCATTCAAAAGTTTCCAGCTCAGATTAGTTAACAGATCGAGATTAAGGATATCTCATTCTAAAGTTTTCAGCTCTGAGTAAAAATGTTGCATAATTAAATAAAATTAATCTTTTCTAGTAATTTAGAAATAGAATTGGGTAAAAACTTTAATTGTTTATAAACGGACCTCGAAACGGTGCCCACTGCCCATGCCCCATAGTCTAACTTAAATAATTCAAAAATTAGAATTATGAAAGAGACGATTAAGAAAAAAAAATTAACTTAATTCCTCGGATACGGATTAGTGCTTTCAAAATGGATTAATAGTACTTCAGTTCCAACGTAAGATATTTAAAACATAGACAATTTTTTTCATTTTAATTTTGCACTTGTCTAAAATGTGCAAACGTAATGAAACCGAGACACTCTGGAGAAAATGATTCAAACTTTTTTGTCTCCATAAATGATTTAAATATTTACAATAAAAACAGTTAAAATTTTAAAAACGACAAAAAAATTTATTGAAAGCTCTGTCCACTGAAATCCAAGTAAGTTTGTTTTACAAAATGTCAAACATTAACTTAAATTGTTTTTTATTATCAAATTTATTTACAGGGTGTATCAACAATCAGAGGCCGAATTTTAAGATTTTGAGCCGCGGCTTAAATTTGAGTCGCTGCTCAAATATGGTTGGTTCCACTTAAAATTGTATTGTATTAAATGTTTAAATATTTAAGCCGGCGCTCAATTTAAACCGGTTTTTGGAGGATTTGAGACGCAACTCAAATTCATTAAATTTTGACTAGAATAGGAAGACGCCATTTATACATAAAATAGTCCAATGAACTTGTGACACTGCACAATTGTGCAGTGTTGTTAATCCCATTTCACTGAGCAAGTGAGTTAATAAGACACTAGTAAAACTATTTGCTTTGTAACTACATAAAAACACTTTTTTTGCGGTAAAGTCGTCTTCCTATTCCACAGTTTTCTAACTCTCACTGGTTGTGGTCGAAAGATAAGAAAAGAATGAATGGATATTTTACTGGATCGAACGAAATAAAGAAATTAAATGTAAAAACAAAGAGTCAAATTAAAAAATGGATAAATGAAAGAATGAATTACCGAAAGAAAAAAAATCTTAAAATTATTTATGCAAAGCTTGTCACAAAAGCATGGTAAAGCAGGGACGATTCAAAAATCATCTTGTAATTTCGATTGTTGTTATATCGTATCGTATCCAATTTAATTTTGAAAATACACAAATTGAAGACCACTTATTGCCAATGCTTACTACATAAAATTTTTATTGTATTTACGAAAAAGACGATATAATCAACATCAAATTCTATTGGAACTGCACTGTAAATCAAAAAATTTAATATTAAATGAACTAGATGCAGACATAATTTCAAGTAACTCTGTATTTAAAAAGAGTAGCATATGAGATTCACAACAGCGTCACTTATACTTAATTAATTAGTCAGGGTATAAAGATACTACTGTGATTGGTGAATCAGACACGGAGAGTAACTTGAAATTACGTCTACAGTCCCTTTAAGAGAATAAAACTGACCAGCTCCAATTGCTGTATAGTAGAATACCAGATTTTTAACCACAGTGCTCTTTTCTTCGGTTCCCTTATAAACATATTTTTGTTAAAAATTGGATTTATTCATTTCTATACCAAGTGCCTAAATTACTTATACCAAGAGCCTAACTAACCTGTATTAAGTGCCTAACTAACCTATACCAAGTGCCTAACTAGCATATACCAAGAGCCTAACTAACCTGTACCAAGTGCCTTACTAACCTATACCAAGTGCCTAAATTACTTATATCAAGAGCCTAACTAACCTGTACCAAGTGCCTTACTAACCTATACCAAGTGCCTAAATTACTTATATCAAGTGCCTAACTAACCTATACCAAGTGCCTAACAGCATATACCAAGAGCCAAACTAACCTATACCAAGTGCCTAACTAGCATACACCAGAGCCAAACTAACCTATACCAAGTGCCTAAGTGACAATCATCAAGTGTCCAACTGACCTATACCAGAAGTGCCAAATTAACCTATACCGGAAGTGCCTAACTGACCTATACCGGAAGTGCCTAACTGACCTATATGCCTGGGACCGGATCCAGTTTACATGTCTTGCTTCTCTAAAATGAAGAAGATGTCCGCCCATATCTCGGGCAACATGGCTGCAGTCCTGAAACAAACCACCTATTGTTGGTTGATCATAATTTGGAGAACAAATTTAAATTGTCATCAAGCATTTGACATCATTGCAATTTTTTTTTATCAAAAAATACTAAACTTTTCAGGTACTTGGCCCTCATTTTTTCCTTTTTCAAACAATGGATATATCAAAGCTTTACAATTTCAAGATGAACAAATGTAGGAATCTGTTTGCCCTAATGGATTTTCAACTTTTCGGGATTTTATTTTTTATGTCATGGCCAAATGTTCATTAAACATTTGGTTTAATCGGGGTCGGCCATAACAACATATAAAAATTTTAAAAAACAATGGATATATCAAAGCTTTACAATTTCAAGATGAACAAATGTAGGAATCTGTTTGCCCTAGTGGATTTTCAACTTTTTGGGATTTTATTTTTTATGTCATGTCCATTAAACATTTGGTTTAATCGGGGTCGGCCATAACAACATATAAAAATAAAAAAAAACCAACAACACAGAACAGATTTATTTGAATATTTTTACCTTACAAACTTCAAGCCTTCCAAGCCAACTAAACCTTCTCTCCTTTGCATCCATTCTAAATAAAGGATAGATTTTAATCTTAAAAAACCATTTGAACTTGTAATAATAAGAAATAAATTGTCATACTTCTATATAAAAAGAAATAATTTTTTCTATTCCTTCATGCTGTCACCATCATTGAATTTTAAAATGATGAGATATCTTAATTTTTTGTCTCATAGTTTTAAAACATATTCATTTTAACTTTTATTTTCTGTTATTTAACAATCGTTAAACTTCCATCAAATCTTGTCTGATTCCTTAAACATTATAACTTTAAAATCTTAAATTTTCTTCTGATTTTTGTTGTATCAATATGTGTAGATGGATAAATAGATAAAATTTATTGCTAAAATATATGTATAAAGAACAAGTTTATAATTTCAAATTGATGATTATTTTAACAGTACGAGAATAATGCTATTAAGTGGAAAATGGCTCTTGGCTGTTTTGATTATTTTTTCCACCTAATTTTAATAATGATAACAAAATACTTCAATTAACAGATTTGACGTGAAACATTAGAGATCAGGATTGGATTTTATCTTGTGCAAAATAGTTTTTATATTTGTTAGAATAGCAATATTTTGAAATAACTTTCTGTCATGTACAAAAAAAATATCATAACATGCATTAAACCACATTTGAATAGCAATTCGGTTTAAACACATTGTAATGTAATTTTCAAAAAGAGAGCTTAATAGTATATTTTTAAAGAGTTGCTTCTTTCTCAGTCAAGAGGCAGATTATTCCACATCTTAAGAAGAGAGCTTGATGGTAAATATGAAGGTATAGACTGGAGTATAGTGACAGTGCAATATGCAGGTATAGACTGGAGTATAGTTACAGTGCAATATGCAGGTATACATTGGAGTATAGTTACAGTGCAATATGAAGGTATAGACTGGAGTATATGCAGGTATAGACTGGAGTATAGTTACAGTGCAATATGCAGGTATAGACTGGAGTATAGTTACAGTGCAATATGGAGGTATAGACTGGAGTATAGTTACAGAGCAATATACAGGTATAGACTGGAGTATAGTTACAGAGCAATATGCAGGTATAGACTGGAGTATAGTTACAGTGTAATATGCAGGTATAGACTGGAGTATAGTAGCAGTACAATATACAGGTATAGACTGGAGTATAGTTACAGTGCAATATGCAGGTATAGACTGTAGTATAGTTACAGTGTAATATGCAGGTATAGACTGGAGTATAGTTACAGTGTAATATGCAGGTATAGACTGGAGTATAGCTACAGTACAATATACAGGTATAGACTGGAGTATAGTTACAGTGTAATATGCAGGTATAGACTGGAGTAAAGTTACAGTGCAATATGCAGGTATAGACTGGAGTATAGTTACAGAGCAATATGCAGGTATAGACTGGAGTATAGTTACAGTTAGACTGGATTATAGTTACAGTACAATATGCAGGTATAGACTGGAGTATAGTAACAGTACAATATACAGGTATAGACTGGAGTTTAGTTACAGATGGAGATATAGACTGGAGTATAGTTACAGTACAATAAACAGGTATACACTGGAGTTTAGTTACAGATGGAGATATAGACTGGAGTATAGTAACAGTGCAATATACAGGTATACACTGGAGTATAGTTACAGATGGAGATATAGACTGGAGTATGTTGCAAATGCATACATCTCTAAAAATATTCAGTTGAGGGCACTTCAATTCTTCATGATTAACAGATCGACAATGCTTGTTTTCAGGTTACTCAACTGGAAAATGTTTATTTTAAGTTTATTTTTTAAAGATTAAGATTAAAAACAGGAAAATTTCAAAACAGAAGCATATTATAAAAATGAAAACTATTTATTTAGATATTTAGGATTGTGAGAATTCGTTTTTTAGATTACTCATTTTACACCTTCCTCTACACAGGGGAGGGTGGGGGGATAAAGGAAGGGGAAATGAAAAGGGTGGATGCATACAGGGGTGTTCAGAGGGCTGAGCCCACCCCCTTTGGATAATTGAAAAAAATAGTTCCCAGGGCGTCAAAACCCTCTTCACACCCGGAAAATAAAAAAAGGTTATGAACAAAATACTGCATACGCCTTTGAATTTATAAATTCAAAATTACCAGGGCCATGGAACGAAATTACGGTAAACAGAAAAGACAAAGGAATTCTCAAATTTTCTAATCCTTATATCTTTGCAACCCGATGGTGTAAACGTTTGATATTTCAAACTGAGATTTTTCGATCAAACCTATTTCATAGTTTAATATGTCTACGACATCAGGTTGCAAAGATATAGGGATTATAAAATCAGAGTTGACAAAGACTTTATTTTTTTGTTTGTTTCAGAATGAGGAATTATTATTAAGAAATATTATATTATAAATGTAGAAATATTATATCATAAATGTAGAAATAAAGAAACCAACTTTATGAATAACAGGTTTTTCAATAAAAAAAACGAAGTTAATGAGGAAAAAGAAAACTGTAAAATATAAGAAACATTTTACATAATTTGAAATATCCAAGAACTTTTAAATTCTGTCTTTTATCAGGTTTAATTTTCCAAAGAATGTCTTTGTCTACCGTGAGCAAGCTTTCCTTCTTTTCTGGCTGTATTTTCATTATGTAAATATAAAATTTTTTAATAGACTAGGCTTTATAGAGAGCTTTACGCCCATACTCTTTTTTAACTTTTAATTATGGCTCTGTCTGTGAGCATCTTCTCTGAAAACAAACACTGAAAACGTTTACAGATTTATTAATATTTTTTGTGGTTTTTCGAAATTTTACAAAAATCCAAACTTTTGGAAATAATTTTTTGTAATTTTGAGCATCCATAAACCTTCCCTGGGGTCATGTTAGATTCCACAAAAAAATTCGGGCCAGAACGGTTCAGCCATTTTGACGTTTATTGGATACAAACAAACAGATATCCAGACAAACAAAGATTATATATAGGTTTAAATACTTAATTGTAAGAAAAGAAGTCTCAACACATAATTTGAATTATTTTTGTATCAAGGTTAAGTTTGATGTTATGCAATTTTTTCTCTCCATTATGTAAGGATCCACATCAAAAAGATGATATAAAAAACCCCTGGAGGATGGAACTTTTGGTTAGTTAATCCCTCTGTAAATCTTAAAACCGTTTCTGTAGTGGTCAGACAGATTGAGTTTCGAACGGCCTACTCTTAGAGATCACTAGACGTATAGGAAATAGATATTTATCACTTAATTTTATGAATTTAAAGTAAGAGTATTGACACTTTTATGCGAAGGCGTAAACAGGGGGTAAAGGAGGTAGTGCCCCCACCCTTGACTTGTAAAATTTGGGATAGCCCTCCTAGAAGCGGGGGGGGGAGTCCCCCTAACGTTTTTTGGACATAACTAAAAAAGTATTTGTCTAATTCAAAATTTCTGACTTTTCTTACTAACACATGCCTCTCACTTAGGGCTTAAATTGAAGATTTTATACCTCTACCTGAGTCCTCAGACATACTGCCTGAATGCCTTATTTTACCTATACAAGACTAAATCTAATTTAAACACTTTTTGAGTCAGACAAACGAAGTTATCTTCCACATTTTTGAACAAATTAAGGTTTTAATGGAACAGTTGTAAACGTGTAAATCGAGCATTGCTATATTTGAATGAAGGAACACTTAAATTTACACGTACAATCCCTTTAACTAAAGAAAAGGATAAGATTTATGCGTCTTAATTGTATGACGGCGCCAAGAACAGAGTGTTGTTATTTCCGATTCTCCAGTGTGAAATATTCCAGCTATTAAACACTGCATTCAGAAGTAAAGATGGGCATTTATTTTTAGATTTGTTTTTTACTTTTAAAGGTTCTCCACAAATCAGATATGTTATGTACATTTTTTCCGCTGACAATTCATGCATGGACCAACGCGTATAAATAAAAAAAAAAACAATTGTTCAAGTCTTGGTGATGTTAGAACCGTTGCAAACATATGGCTAGCTTTTATCAACCATGCAATTTTGTTACACTAGAACAAAAAATAAGGAAAAACTATCGTTTTAGAATAATAGTTTTTGGGTTTTTAAAACGATAGTTTTTTGTTCATTTTTGCCTTCACATAGAATAACAAATTTGCCTATTTGATAAAAGCAAACATCTACAACTTTTTATCGTTGAACCCTCTCAGTAAAACCTTTGAAAAGACTAAAAATATATTAAAAGTTTCTGTAAAACTAATCTAGTTATTGCTCATCGCTAATTGAAAGAATCCAAAAACTATCTATATCGAGAAGATGCATTGTTTATAAAGAATGAGAATAAAGCCTTGAAGTCATCACTAAACAATACACGTATTTGTGACTGCTGAACTGCTGAACTGACTGTTAAAGGGACTGTAAGCGTAATTTCAAGTGAACCTCCATACAAAGATGGCAATGCCCGAATCACAACGGTACCTATGAAACCTTTATTTGATCAATAATCTGGAACATGTTGCCATTTTCTCGGTTTAACACTGTTTAATTCTGACAAGTCCTTTACATCACGGTCCTGTTAATATTACAGAAAGCTGTGACTTTCGATTACAATTTTACAAATTAAACAAAACTTTATAGCTTTTTTTCTTTGGTATTTTTTGTTGGCACATGCATTTTGAACGAAAAAGTATAAAATAAACAAATCCGTAAAGTAAATGATTGTTGAATTATAGACCAAATCACGTTTGTTTTCAAACAGAAGAAACCGAATGCTGCTCACTCTGATTAGTCTGGGGTGACATGTTTTCTTGCCGTATGAAATTTATATGAAATCGAGTTTTTGAAGTTCATTACTTCTGTAAAATTAAAAGGATTTTTTAATATATCAGATTCAAGAATTTAGAATTCTAGTTCCACACTCTACAGTCTACAATGAGAGTTGAAAACAAAGATTTAAAGGTTTGAAGAGACCAAATTTAATGAATAAACTGTCTGGTGCCTTCCGCCGCGTGGTTCAAATTTTAATCACCGATTCAAATCAGCTTACACAACTTCAAGGAATCATGAATTTATGAAACGGACAGCTAGATAAATGTCGTCTTTATGAAACGGACAGCTAGATAAATGTCGTCTTTAAAGTCTCATCTTTGTGGGTAATCCTGTATGTTTTGACTTAAAGTTTGCACGACCTCTACCTACATATATCTTAAAAAAGATGTTTTTGGTTTTAGATTTTACTTATTGAATTGCAATCTGAAATTACTTCGTTGTATCTATTATTATAAGGCACAAAATATACAGACCACATTTTGGAAATGCCAGTTTTCAGTGGAACATCCAGTGCATAGGGTTACCTTCAGAGGATGAAACCTCAGAGAGACTGTACGAAACTTACATTGTCTGTTTCCTCATTTTCACGATTCCCCGCAACTGTAGAATTCTGCTTTTCTTTGCCAATTAATTTAATCAGCCACAGGCTTTATCGGAGACAGAAGACTTAACTTGACATTTGGATCGTCATATCTTTAAACTTTTAAGTCATCTTTACAGTCTCATCCTTTTAGGGTAACCCTGTATATATACGTGTAAAATATACTTTCTGTATGTATGTTCAAATATCAACTGTTATTCCTGTAAACAAACTAGTTGCAAAAACTTGTGCAAAAGGAAAACAATTGTCTACGTAAATTGAATGGAATATGCACAGATCTGTTAAGTGAAATGTTACGATATAACTGAACTACATATTTTTCTTACACACATCTTTTAATAAAACTAGAATAAATTGACTATATATTTGAATGAATGGACAGAGCTTTAGAATGTGCATGCTTGAAGCTGAAACAAAAAAGTATATAAGTGACTTGTGTCTGAATTTAATGAATTTAAGCCGTATCTTAAATCCCCACAAAACCAGTTTCAATTGAGCGCCGACTTAAATCTTGAAAATTTAATATAAATTTAAGTGGAATCATCAAAACATGTTAAATTTAAACCGCGGCTTAAATTCTTTAAATTCGGCCTCAGGTTAAATAAGGTTCTTGTCGACACTGCAAACCAAGATGTGCACGCTCTCGCACAAAAATCGAGCAGTACTTTTCAAATTACTCCTTAAGCTAGAAACAATACACTTGTAGTTTTAGAATGTGCAATGTGCATGCTTAAAGCTGAAACAAAAAAGTATTTAAGTGACTTGTGTCTGAATTTAATGAATTTAAGCCGCGTCTCAAATCCCCCCAAAACCGGTTTCAATTGAACGCCGGCTTAAGTCTTGAAAATTGAATACAATTTTTAGTGGAACCAATCATTTTTGAGCCCCGGCTTAAATTTAAGCCTCGGCTCAAATTCTTTAAATTCGGCCTTTAGTGAGGTGATATAAAAAGCTAAGATGTTCCGACGCATTTAGGTCGTGGCTGTCCAAAAATTTGATGCCTCCTTTTTCTAGACATTAGTGTGTCTAAATCAAAATTGGTGATAAATGTCAAGATATTATGTTTATATTAGAGGTGGGGGCACCGCCCTTACATTAATGCTCTTTATGTAATTTTTAATCCTATTTGTGCCTTTGACCGCAGGATTTATTCTATATCCGTCGTTGTTTCGCAATTTGTTTTCTTATGCAACGGTGAGCAATTCAAATCCTGTAAAAAAGTATTACAACGTATTGGTAGTACATAGTTACATACTTACAAACGTCTCTTTGATAAAAAACATCAATTTATTTAATCTACAAAATTGCCCTGGAAGATATGTATTATGCACGACTTAAAAGCATTCGAACAAATTTGAATCTTTTTTTACTGAACGACCAATTGTTTTCAAAAAGTAAAAAAAAACGATATTCTTTTTTTAATAAACGAACAGTTTTTTAGAACAAACGATTTTTCTGAAATCGATAGAAATAGATAAAAAATAACGATAATTTTGAGAACAAACAATATCATTTTTTGAACTATTGAAAAAATGAACAAAAAAATCGTTCATGAACGATGAACGAACGAAATTTAAAAAACGAACGTGTCCATCTCTAGATATAGTTATAAACGAAATTTTATATACTGCCTGCCCGCCCGCCGTAGTCATTGCGTTGAGGTACGTGTTTAATTATTTAAAGTTTTAAAGACTTTCAAGAGGTTCAGAAGAATCTGATTTGTAATTCTCTCTCTTCAAAATTGCCTGTTATACAAGTTTGCTGTTATTACAATATGCAAAATTCTTACTCCTTGAGCTTACCATGCTGATTGTGCAAAATAAAATTTTAAATAAGCATTTTTCATTGTCACAACTAATTACCTAACTTCCTTGTTTCTCCTAAAATGTACACTTTAAAATTCTGAGTTTATCTTAAACCTGATAAATGCCCGGGCTAGGCTTGAAAAATGCATTTCACGAGCTTTCCTTCTAACATTTTCATGTCGTCCCGGTATTTGAAATATTATCTTTTCTCAGGTTTTAATCAATCTTTATAACACCGCGTTTAGAAGCACTAAAATTGAGAATTTATGGTGCTAGGCACCTCTTTCACTATAGTTTCAGTAGAAGTAAACATGTTCATTTACTGATAGCGCCGATTGAAGGATTCATAACTCTAATAGGATGATGAGATAGATAGACAGATAGATGTTACCACCATACTAATTCTATTAGTTCAGAATAGACAACAAACACATGACTGAACCCTGATTGGATCAGGCGCTAATGGACTCGGCATACAGGAGTGCTTTAAGTAAATGCTTCAAACAAATAAATTTCACAGAAAGGACGTTTCTTGGAAAATTTTGATTAATAATGTAAATTTGTTTTTAAAAATATTATCATTTAATAAATCATAACCTGTTATTTCTACGATCTGTCGTAAGCCGAAATTTGTTTATATTTTTAATTCTGAATAATTTTTTTGAACTAGTCACGTGGAAATTTCTTATATTTAACAAATTAAAAAAAAATATTTGGTATTTCTAATTGTCAGTTTTAGAATTAATTACCATTGCCGCGGCGGAAAAACAAAAACACAATAAAAACAAAGTTTAAAGGAACTGTAGACAAATTTTACCAAACAATACCCTTTAAACCATTGTCAAAGCAAACAAAATGCAAAGTTTTTCTGTTTCCTTTTCTTAGAATTAAATATCTAAAAATTGCGGTTTGTTTTCTATAAAACACATGCAGATTTATGCAGTAGCAGAGAAAGGAAGAAATGGTAAAAATCAAAGACTTTTTCAGATAGAAAATGGCAATAATGTCCTCAAGGTTATACATCTTGGGTACCGAAGTGAATCGGAAATGTCACTTTACAAGGGTCACCTGAAATTCTACTATATAGTCCCTTTAATTCTACTATATAGTCCCTTTAAGTTTAAAGAAAAGATTGAACGTGACATACCGTATCTTCCATCCTAGGGCTGGAAATATAAAGCAAAGAATGCGTGAAAGTATTCAGACTTTTTAAATTAAACAATTCTTTCTCATCCTCATCCTCATCCTCATCTATCTATCTCCCTATCTATTTGTCTATAAACCTATTTATCTGTCTATCCATCATCTATCATCTATCTATCTACCTATCTATTTGTCTAAAACCTATTTCTCTATCTATCCATCATCTATCTATCTATCTATTTCACTATCTATCCATGTTCCGGAAAGCTTGAGACGGTGAATAAGTCATGCGGGTAAATTCTAGTCTTTTAACCCAAGAATTTATTTATTTATTTTAAGGGATTGTAAAGTATAGAGTGTAGACTTAATTCAAAGCAACTCAAAATTGAAATCCATAATTTTAAAATGTAGATTTATGCTGCATAGCCAAAGGAGGTAATTAGGAAAATGTATTTCATGAATTGCTACCTGGACACACCTGTAAGAGGTATTGTGAATTGGGCACCAAGCTCTATAATTGGATAATCACTTAAAATTAAATTGAAAGTCCTGCTAAAGTCAGAACGATTCTACAGGGTGTCCCAAAAAACATGGGAATTCAGTGACGAATTCAATATCGTCTTTACAATAATTCTTTGATTTAGTATAGTGATACTTCCTATGAAAGCTGTAATCTGTAAGAGTTTCGTCTGCTTTGTTCACATTGTGTTTGTTTATGTTTTGACTGCATACGATTGTACAATTAGTAAAACAAGAAAATTGCAGTATACAGACAGAGTAAACTTGTCCGTCTTCACTGTTCATCTTGCGGAGACATTATAGACACATCTTTACAGTCTTTTACCCTTTTCATAAAATAAACTCTAGCAGACATAATAATATTATGGCTTTTGAAATTAGGTATTACAATGCTAATTCATAACAAAGACGATATCGAATTTGTCACTGAATTCCCATGTTTTTGGGACACCCTGTATGAACAATTAAACAAATATGTAAACACGACTTGAAATTTAAAGTTTCAGTTCAAACTAACAGTGTAAATTTTTCATTGATGTACTAAATTAATAATTTCAAGTTCAAAATTTCATCAGGGTGAAATTTTTAAATCTAAGCCATCGTCCTTCAGCGCTCGGCACGTGCCTTATTCCCTCTCGATGATTGTGTGATCTTGCTATGTATACATTTACTGCATAAAACGTGCTGGGTCCAAACTGGTCGGTACGACTGAATGCATTTACAGTACATGTTGTACCGGCTCGGATCATGTTACTTTAAGAGTGCAGAATCCCGAACAGCCAATAAGAGGCTGGAAATTTGAAATTCTACGCTCCATTAAATCAGATCTGCAGAGAACTCTCTTTTTTCGAAATCTGGTAGGAATATCCAAAAAGGGAGAAAAAGAGTGGATTAAGCGGAAAATTAAAAGTGTCCACATTGGATATTCAGATCAAGCGATCAGGATTAGGGGTGTGTCCCATTCTGTCCAGGTCCCAGCTCTAGTTTCATGAGTTGTTGGAAAACGTTTAATACGTTTACATTATCTTAGTTAGCTACGGTGGTGCGATTATAGTTGTTCCATGGATTATAGCAATACGATGAAGACGACTTTTTTATTTAAGTTTTAATTTTTAACAATCTTTTTTCGAATTACAAGTATACAGTCAATTAAAGAGAAGTATTTTTAAATCAAAATTAAAATCGAAATTTGTCATCTTATATTGATAAAGTGAATTTTTGCAAATTATCTTTTTTCCATCTCATAATCTGAGTTCGTTTCCCTTATGTCCATTTGATTGACAGCCCAAATTTTTATTTTGAATAATCTTTTTTGTTTGTTTATCTTCTTGTGATTTTTTACAATTATTTTAAATTTCTTTTTTTATCGATTTTGATGGTTATTATATCGTTAGAACTGACGAGGGTCAACCCAGACCGAAATATATTTTCAATAAATGTGGAACTAACATCTACTTTTTTACTCTACAGAGGTTTGGTCCATCACCATCACTGAATTNTACATGACACGGATTTTATTAAATTAAGAAAATATTATATTTTTGATTATGATTTCATTCCAAGATTTGTTTCATTCATTTCTTCAATAAAAAACTCGTAAAAAATATGTATCAGACATTTAAAAAATCTTTTACAATTTTATCAAAAGCCAGTAAGTGCAAAAAAAATCTGAAAATATTGGAGACAAAATTTGAATGTTATTGACAAACATATTGTAAAAAATTGAATGATATTTCTAGAAATACCAGTGGAAAAAATGGATGATTCCATTTTTAAATGAAGTAATTTCTGCCAAAACCAATAACATTATTTTTGCTGTCATTGACCAAGCTGAGCTTCATGATATTATCAGTTTTATTTGCACGGCCTAACAGCTAATATATTAAAATTAAATTCTTGTATTTGTATTTATTATGATATTTACTCTCATGATTTTTTGTCTGTTCAATTGTACCAATTTTTAAATTATGTATGTTTACGAAATAAATAAAATAAATAATATAATATGTCTAATAATTGGTGAAATGATGAAGCTATATAAAGAAAGAAGTAATCTCTGTATGTTTGGATGTCCCACTGGTGTACATTCAATATCCGAGCTAGGCCAACCTTTGCGGTCCTTCTTTGGACTGTACCGCCAATTTACAACTGCTAAAGCGGCAGAGGAGTGTGGTCCGATTATAACTCAGGAACAGGGAGAACGTTTTGCCTCAAATTTGAATGGGGAAACTCCCGACGTTCCCCAATCAAAGTCTCTGAGGAAAAACTGTCTTGGGGTTCCTGAGTTATGTTCGAACAAACAAACAAAGAGACAGACAAACAGAGATAACAACTTTGTAAATATATATATAGATTTATTGGAAAGTATGAGTAAGCACCAAGTTACCCCACCCCCATCATAATTACGGTTCTGAAGAGAATATATTCTTCTAAACCTAGAAAATAGAGATAATCCTTTTTTCTCAAACACGACAAAAAGGTAATTAAGGTAAAAAAAAGGTAATTAAGGTAACAAAGGTAATAAAGGTAATTAAGGTAATAAAGGTAATTAAGGTAATAAAGGTAGATAAGGTAATAAAGGTAATTAAATTTATTAAATTTATTAAGGTAATTAAGGTAATTAAGGTAATTAAGGTAATTAAGTTAATTAAGGTAATTAAGGTAATTAAGGTAATTTAGATAATTAAGGGTGCTATTACATTGTTTGTAGAAGTTTTAATCTTATCTGTGGCTTAGATAGTAAACATTTAATTTCTTCGATATTTGGGAAGTTCTTCAGTAAATAAAAACATTTTATACAACTGTTAAAGGTAAGCTCGATNCTTGTAATTAAAAGAAATCGTGTCCTCAGCTCCTATTTTATAGCTTCATGAATGTATAATTTTCTTTGCTAAAATAAATTTATTTATTGGGCCAAGTTAATTCAGTTTCGATGGTTTCAGATCGACCTGAAAAAGCAGATTTTAAAAATCTTTTTTTTCTTCTGTACACTCTTTATGGTAAATTTGCACATGTTTAGCTTTTCTTGATCATGCACCTAATCTTTGAAGTATTTGCAATTATTTTGCATATTTGACATTGCAAAAAAAAATGGAGTTTGTCATTTTTTGAAAAATCATTTGGGAAACATCTTTATCGTTAAACGTGATAAGTTTAAATTAATTTTTTTTTATTAAAAAACTAGCTCAAAAGCTTTAAATACTAACAAGTAAGGCCAAGTGGGTTGTGACGCTTCAAAGTTGACCCGGACTTAAAGCATAATTATCTAAGCTGTCTGGATCTCTGTTGCTTCCGGTCGGCCCTTTTCTAGTTTTTACTTTAAAGTAAAAGAATCTACTAAATCTGAATAAATCCTATTTCAAGCCAATAGTCAGGTCTGGCTTCAGACATTGCAAATCCTTTAATCTGAGTTCAGGGGTGAATGTCTTCCTTGTAACCCCCCCCCCCCCATGTTATTTCCGTTTTTGAACATTGACTCTTAAAGTTTCCGGGTTTTTAGGGTGGGGGGGGGGAGGGAGGGAGGTGAAAAATATAACCCTGCACACAAAATATTTACTTGAAAGCTCAACTAAACAAGTTTAACACTTTATACTCCATCACAAGAAAATGTACTCGTCTGCAGGAGTATACTTTTGGAAAATTTAAAATATTTTTTATTTTGTTTTTCGTCGCTTTCGCAATTTTACTAACAGTCACAAACGATAGATATAATTTTTATGAATTTATTTGACTTGAAGGTTAATTGGCTTGTCTGCCTTTTTGTAGTCAATATGGCTGAATGATGGAAGAAAAATAAAGGCTGGAAAAGCATTAAAAGCTTGAACTGTTCCTTAATAAAGAGACACAAAGCGCCCCAAAAAAGTCCAGGTGTGTTTAAATGCTCATGGACGGTTTAGGATAATTTAAAAAAGGAAACATTTTGATTGCAAAAAAACTTACAAATAAGTATGAAAAATATCTTTCAAACAACACATTGTTCTTTGGTATTTTTTTTATCTATAGAAGTCTATAATCTAATCTTTCCCCTCCCCTTTTTTAGCTTGTTTTTTCTTTGCTAGACTAATTTCAGATCCTAACTGTTGCGGAGAAAGAATTTAAAGAATTTTTTCATTCTAGAATGGAATCAATTATAGGAGACAGGGCACAAAAACTATTCTTAGGCAAGAATAAAGAATAAAATCGTGAATTACAGGGACAGGCGACGAAATTTGAAATAAGTCTTCATTTTTTCTCATTGTTACTCAGATTATGGTAACACGGGTAATGGGTAGAATCGGCCAACTCTTGATTTTACGTCACGAGACAATTTCTTTTAAAGCTAGAAGATTTTTTAAAGAAAGGATGAACATATTATTTAACATCTCTTCATCTTATAT